TGGAGGGCCAGGAGCCAGGGAATGGCTTCCAGTGGGAAAGGGGAGCTCGGGGTGGGATCTTGGGAAGGAATTCCTGGCTGGGCTCCCCCGTCCATGTTTGGATCAAACCGGATCCATCCCTACTTTTTCCCCCATCCCAAACTGTGGGACACACATTGAGAAAGTAAGAAAATTACAGCCTGGAAAAATATTCCAGGCTGGAGCTTCTCAGCTCTGTTCCCAGCCCATGAGCTGCTCCAGCTCAAGGCTGGGGAGAATTTCTCCCAGGGTGATGATTTGGTCACAATAAAAAGGAATTAATACCAAAATCAAACCCCTGTTGTGGTGTGTGCCCAGGCCCTGGCCATGGGGTGTCTTCTCTCTGAACCAATCTCCTTTTCTCTACTCTGGGAGTTGCAGCCATGCCATAAAACCAAGTGTGTTCCTGAATAAACTCGGCTCTTTCTTCCCGTCGTGACAGACTCCCATGTACCTGTGCACCTCATTCCTTAAAGGGTTAAACCCCCTTTCCAACACCAGACCTCCCGTACTTCTCCAATCCGGGCTCCTCTGTGCACCCCCCGGCCATTCCCGGCTTCCTCCTCCCTTCCCGAGTAACGGGATGGAGGCAAGGCTGTGGATCGGGGTGGGAACACCGACATCCCCGTTCCCACAGATTCAGCGGGAACGATGGGAACACCTGGCTAGGTGACACACCTGGATGGCAGAGTTGTTGTCATCGATGAGCGTGTCCGTCACCTCCAGCTGCCCTTCCACCACCACCTTCTGCAGAACCATCCGGAACGTCCCGATGAGCCTGCGGAGCAAAGCACAGCTCTGGCTTTATCCCACATCCCAGATCCTTTTTTTTTTTTTTTTTTTTTTCCAATGAAGCAGAGATGAGATCTCTGGGATGCTTTAGGAAGTGTGGTTTATTTCTTTTATTTCCTACATGGAGTAGTGTGGTTTATTTCTCTTATTTCCTACATAGAGTAGTGTGGTTTATTTCTTTTATTTCCTACATCGAGTAGTGTGGTTTATTTCTCTTATTTCCTACATAGAGTACTGTGGTTTATTTCTCTTATTTCCTACATGGAGTACTGTGGTTTATTTCTTTTATCTCCTACATAGAGTACTGTGGTTTATTTCTCTTATCTCTGTGAGTTCATCTCACAGATCTTCACTGCCTGGCCCAGAAGTCACAGGACTCCTGATTACAAAATCTTTTATGTGTTTATTAGCCAATAAAACACTGCCAGCAGGAATATTTATGTTTCTAACCCAATACTAAGATATTTCATCTCATTGACTCGCACTCCAGTGTGAGCTTTCTCAGCCAATCATATTATGGCACACAAACCTACAGTGCTGCACTCTAAAAATTCTGGTTACTTTTTAAATCACCTTTGTTTTTTCTATATGTTAAAACTTGAAATGCTAAACTTTTCTCTACATCTTAAAACTTTAAATGCTAAAATTTTCTCTACTTAACACGTCTCTGCTCTAGACTATAAATCCACACTCTTGCTTCTAGCACCTAAGTTTGGAAGTCTTCTCCAAGGTCTCAGATCAAATCCTGTGTTTAATTCCAAGCTTTGGATTGCAGGCCTAATGTTTTGAGATTTCCCTGCATTTCGGATTCCAGCAGCCAGGAAATCCCGGGAGTTTTCACCCACCAGGACCTGGTTTTCACGGGAAAAGGGCTTTGCTGTCTGAGGAGCTGTGCAGGACTCTGCTTCCCATTTTCCTTAGGAAGAGGGAGAGGTGAGATCCTGAATCAGTGGAGAGTATGGAAAAAGGAGAAGCCAAGAGAGGAGCCATTCCAAGGGAATGCTGTTGGGATAAGGAAAGGAGGAGGTTTGGGAACCGTCACCGTTGAATTCCTGGGATGAGGGATCCCAAAGTGACCTTTTCCACATGGAACGTCCACGGTGACTCACACAAGGACTGAGGCCTGTCCCTCATCCATGTGCATCATGGAATCACGGGATTTGGGTGGGGATGGACCTTGGAGCTCATCCCGTTCCACCCAATTCCTTCCACAATCCCAGGTGGCTCCAAGCTCCAATGATACCATGGAATTTCTCCCAATATCCAACCTGAACCTCCCCGTGGCCATTCCCTCTCATCCTGTCCCTTGTTCCCTGGGAGCAGATCCTGATCCCTTCTGGCTCCTCCCAGGGAGTTGTGCAGAGCCACAAGGTCCCCCCTGAGCCTCCTTTTCTCCAGGCTGAGCCCCTTTCCCAGCTCCCTCAGCCTCTCCTGGGGCTCCAGCCCCTGCCCAGCTCCGTTCCCTTCCCTGGACACCTCCAGCCCCTCCAGGGCTCTCCTGTCAGGATTTCCACCTCCATCCCTCATTTTCCACATTCCAAGCACGGATCAATCCCGGCAGAGCTCTGTCTCCAAGGTGCTCTGCAGGACACAGAACAGGAAAACCTTTCCTTTGTTTACTCCATAATTCAGAAGAAATTCTGCATCCCATGGGAACGGCCTTTATCTTCTCCAAGACGAGGAAAACGCTGCTGTATCCACCTGGATTTCAGGGTTTGGAAAACAACGTCATTCCCTGTCTGCCACAGCAGCAGCAGCACTTTTGTTTGGGAAAACATTCCTTGAGAAAAGCCTGGGTTTATCCCGTGGAATATCCTGAGTTGGGAGCATCCCACAGGGATCATCCAGGCCAATTCCAGCTATTCCTCAGGAGTGGAGCCTGCAAGGGTTCCGGATTCCTGCAGTTGTCCCTGTTTTTTTAACCTGTTTGGAATCCAAAACATTCCCAGGTGCCGTGGGGGCTTCCCTGCTCCTCTTGGATCCAGGTGGATCCAGGCACTTTTGGCTCCCAGGTGCTCAGTGCCCTGAGAGGGCTGAGGAAGGAACAGGAAATTCCTCCTGGAATATTCCCCCTGCTCCAGCTCTGGGATCCAACAAAGGGATGTGGAGCTGCTGGAGAGAGTCCAGAGGAGACCATGGAGCTGCTCTGAGAGCTGGGAATGTTCACCTGGAGAAGGGAAGGATCCAGGGAGAGCTCAGAGCCCCTGGCAGGGCCTGAAGGGGCTCCAGGAGAGCTGGAGAGGGACTGGGGACAAGGCCTGGAGGGACAGGACACAGGGAATGGCTCCCACTGGGAAAAGAGAGCTTGGGGTGGGATCCTGGGAAGCAATTCCTGGCTATGAGGGTGAGGAGGGGCTGGAATGGAATTCCCAGAGAAGCTGTGGCTGCCCCTGGATTCCTGTGAGTGTCCAAGGTCAGGCTGGAGGGGCTTGGATCAGCCTGGGACAGTGGGAGGTGTCAAAGTTGGAATGGGATGATCCTTAAGGTCCCTTCCCACCCAAACCATTCCATGAATCCGTGACAAAACCAGGTAATTCCGAGCCGTTCCAAGCCCTGCAGCAGAGGGCAGGGATAGAAGGAATCTTGGGAAGGAATTCCTGGCTGTGAAGGTGGTGAGTCCTGGCACAGGATCCCAGAGAAGTTCCTGTCCCCCCTCGGATCCTTCCCGAGCCGCTTCCCCCCCCGGCCCCGGCAGGATCTGAGCAAGATGGAATTAAATATTCAGGACTTGTCTGTGCAGCCTCTCCATTCCAAGCGTTCCATAATTCATCAGGGCCCTGCTCCCTCCCTTCCCCGGCATTTCTGCTGATGGAAAAAAAAAAAAAAAAAGGGAAATTTTCTGGGTCACTCGTAATTTTATCAGCCCGGAGGAGCAGCTCCGGTTTCCAACCCCAGCTCGTTCAAATCCCGGGATCAGGGAGTCCGGGGTGCTCCAAAGCCCGGGACTCATCAGGCTTTGCCCTCCTGGTGCATCCCAAATTCCAGGGATGTCTCTGACTTTGAGGGATCCCTGAGGTGATTCCAGGGACACGGTGATTGAGGTGATGGTGGATCCCATCAATCCTGCCAGGCTTTGCCAGCATTGAAGTTTTCCAAGGACAAGAATTCCACCTGTCTGTGCCAACAGCATCCTCCAGTCCAGGAAATCCCATTTTCCCTCCTCTGCTCCCTCAGCCTTTGGGTACTGATCCATGGGCCCATTCTGTTCCTGAAGCCAGGGAGAGGCTCTTTTTTGGGAATGGCATCTCCATCCCTTCATCCATCTATGGATCCATCCATCTATCCTTCCATCCATCCATGGATCAATGGATCCATCCATCCATCCATCCATCCATCCATCCCTCCATCCATCCATCCATCCATCCATCCATCCATCCCTCCATCCATCCATCCATCCATCCATNTCCATCCATCCATCCATCCATCCATCCATCCATCCATCCATCCATCCATCCATCCCTCGGAACCGACAAGACCCAAATCCTGGGACCTCCATCCCAGTTTGGTCCCCACTTCCGGACACCCCTGGAAAGGTGGGATAAGGAAAGCAGAGCCATTCCACACCTTTTGGCCCCTTTCCAGGGAATTATCCTGCTGATCCCTCACGGAAGTGTCCATTCCCATTTGGAACCTGCAGCTTTTCCATGGATGTCCAAATCCCTGCTTGGGCAATCCTGATTAATTCCAGCTCTTTCCTCCAGCAGCTCCTGCCTGGAGCTTGCTCTGGAATGAGCTTTTCTGGAATGAATTTTTCCTCTCCAGCTAAATTGCAGCTTCACCTGGAATTGTGTCACGCCTTGGAATTAGAGCTTCCAAAATAATTTCCCTCCTAATTATCCCCTTCCCTCCACTTGCAGGAGCCTGTAATTGCTCCAGGTTCATTTTCACCTGGAATATCTGGAGAAATCTGGGACACTCCAGCTGCTCCAGCTCAGCAGCCTCCACCTGTTAAAAGTTGCTCCAGCCAAGTTTCTTCCCCTTTTTTCTTCAGGAAACTCTGGCAAAAATTCCCATTAAATGGAAATGGATTTTTCCTCAAAAGGTGAGTGGAGTAGGATGATGAGTGAACCCCGGGGATGGAAATATCCTGCCAGGAAATTCAGTTTGGGATGAGATTTCCCAAACGTGGAAAAGTGGCAGTTTGGGTGCACTCAGGCTCTTGCTCCGTGTTTGGATCCAAAAAAGAAAAATTCCACAAATTCTGACGTGGCCAGAGCTGAAGGGGTCACACACGAGGGATTGAGCACCGAGGATTCCAGCATGGAATCCTGGAATGGTTTAGGTGGGAAGCACCTGAAAGCTGATCCCATTCCAGCCCCGACTTTCTACAATCCCAGATTGCTCCAATCCCCATCCAACTTTTTTTTTTTTTATCCTTCCAGGGATGGGGCATCTACAACTTCCCTGGGAATTCCATCCCAGCCCTTCACAGCCAGGAATTCCATCCCAAAATCCCGTGTAACTGCTCCGTGTGGGGAGGGCAGTGTGACCACAGGGAACCCTCCAGCTCCAGAGTTCATTTTTTTTCCTTTCTCCTGCTCCAGCCCCGGATAATTTTCCGAGGATGAAACGCGGATCCCTCTGGAGACACAAAGGACTTGAGCTGTGCCAGGATCTCCATGGCTGGAGAAGAACAAAAGATGGGACCAAGCTGTTTTTCCACCCCAGAGACTCCAGGGATGGATTAAATCCTCTGGAATCCTGCCCCTTGTGTCCCAGCCAGGTAACGGAGCAGCTCCTGCCTCTTCCCCATGGGATTGGTTTTCCAGGGGAAATTTTTAGAAATTTTTAGGAAAAATTCTCTGTGGCCACTGAAAAGGTTCGGGATGTGGCTTTGGGCCTTTGGCCGGATCCCTTTGCTGCTCCAGAGGAAAAACAGAGACAAGGAGGAGATGGAACCCCCTGGAGTGAAATCTCCTGGGGTTTTGTGCACATTCCTAAAGGATTGGGATCTCTGCCCGGTGTTTATCCCTGTTTGCTGCACCAGGAAAACCTGCTTGGAAAGGCTGTGCCAAAAGTTTGGGAGTGATGCTCCATAGCCACTGGATCACATCTGCCTCTTGGATTCATCCCTGGTTGTGCCTCTGCTTTTTTTTCCCTGGATCTTCCCCTTTCCTGGGAGTGATTCCCATTCCCACATCCCCTCAGGAATGTCCAAAGGCAGTTTTTCCTGCTCAAATCCCCAAAAATCTGGGATCTCAAATTTCCTCCATCCATCCTCTCCTAAGGCCTGGAACCGTGGGAAAACATCCCAGGAATTTTTTGCCATCTTAGAGGGGTTCTGAAGGTGTCCCAGGGGACCAGGAGACCATGGAAAACAACTGAATTCCAGAATTCCGGTATTCCCACCCAGGCCATCCCACTTCACACCAGGATTTTCCAGGATGGGATCAGACAGATTATTTTGTGCCATGGGAATCTCCTGGTTTTTATCCAGGATGTGGAGGCCCCACAAATTTTGATCCTTCCCTCGTGTGGAGCTTTTCCATTGGGAATTTCCACCTGGGAATGACCCACGGGCAGCATGAGGCTCTGCTCCTCCTCCACCCACACCCGGATGCTTTGGATGTGTCCCAGAGAGATTCCCAGCCTGGAAATTCCCAATCCAGGAGCTGGGGACAGGATTTTTGGGATGCTGTGACCCATCTGGGGGGGATTAGGAGGTTTTTCCCTCATCCAGCCCTGCCCTTTTCCTTGGATACTCAGCACTCTGGGAACACTCCTGGGGACCCTCCAGAGCTGGGATGAACCCACCAGGATCCAGAGGCACCTGGATGAGGCCAAACAAGGATCATATTCCCAGGAATTGGCTGCTGGCGACAGCCACAGGGACGAGGGAACAAAAGGAGCCACTCGGATGTGACTCCCTGGCCATTCTGGAGGGTCTGGATCAGGTCCTGGATCAGGTATCCCGTT